TTTAGATACATAAAGAGATTAGGCAGGACATGTTTCTAGTGCCTGAAACTGGAATCTTGGAGGCCTGTATTCTGTTTCTGGTTTTGCTACAGCTTTGTTACATGTCTGTAGGAAAATCATTTGCACAGGATTAACAATACTTTGCCGCCTTGCGATATTTGGGATGTGTAAAGGGGAGCTGGATACAGGAGTAAAAGGTGAAGTATCATATACTATAAATATACTATACTATACTATACTATGGAGTATCATTATGAAAACATGTAAGTAATATGAATGCTGAGTAGAAGCTGGCCTTCGTATTAAAATGCTCACTGCTAGGAATCCTAGAGTAAAGAGGCTGATGTAGAAGAGCTGGCCCCAACATGGGGTGGCTGAGGAATAGACATGGCATGTTCTGTGAAAGAACACAGAAGGCTATCTCCTCTGCAGAGCTTGCCTTGGAGCTCTTAAAGCTCTGGTCTGGTCCCAAAATCACTGCAGCAGATTTCCCCACCTTCTGGGTTTAATGAATTCTGGTGCAGACCCTAAGTAATTGGAATGGTCCTGACTCATTGTATTGTGACACTGTTTAGGCACATGCCCCAGAAGTGTTAGCGTAAATCGTGTATCAGAAAATGAATTTGACTGTTGCTATTTCCTCAGGTCATGAGGAGTGTACAACTCCTTTGTCTGAGTGAGTCAAAGATGAGTGACCGTCTCTAATTCAGTCTACTTTCACTGACCAGTGTAAGGAAATCACCATCTGACTAGAGAAAAAAATTAAGGCTCTCATTCCTCCTTTGATATACTTATGCTCTGTACTTGCAAATGGAGCCCAACAAAAACATTGTAGTTTAAATCTTTGAACATGAAGTCACCTTAGTTTCCTCAGATCGGTATGTAATATCTGGGGAGGTTTATGTTTATGCTTGTGAATGGCATTTTTATTTCAGATGAATTTTAAGTGCGTGAAGGTTATCTTTTATTATCTTAGCCCCTTTATGCTGTGTGTTTGCTAATGACCATTGTCTTGGATCATTAAGTGTATGATCAGTTTTGGGCATCTGCTAACTATGACTGCTGGGTGAAAGCCAGTGAGAGAGATCTGCAGAAGTAATGAGAGTGGAAGACAGTATAAGATAACGTGAAGTGATAGACATGGGAAACACCAGCACATCAGAGACTGGAGGGTCTGAACACTTTGGAACAGTTTTGTGTTCAGTCTTCAAAAACAAGGCTCTAAGTCTGACTTGGATGCTTGAATGGTTCCTTGGTGTTGAGAGTAAGCTTGCTGGTTTGACCTTTGCAGAACAAGGGTATAAGTTAAAAGATCAACAAAAAGGATGAGAATTTTCTGGTTATTTTTGAAGTAATATTGCATGGATTCTATGCATCTGCAGAAGTAGGTATGTTCCTCAGAGGATGCTGGGAAATGAGTAAACTTGTCAGTCAAACATAAAGTGGCTATGTTCCCAGAGGCAACTTGGGTGGGTTCCTCATTCTCAAAGCAATGCTTTTAACTTGCTCTTCTGAATGGCAAACTCTCTTTCTCTTATAACAATGGTTTTCTTTCAGGTGTGTTTGCATTAATGTTATTTATAGCCACGTACCTTGGATTCTGATGAAGGGAGTAGTCAGCTTGAGGGATTTACAGTCTTTGGGAAAGTCTCAGCAGTGTCTCTTAATATGTGGGCATTTTCCTGTACTTGACTTTTGCATGCCCTCAGAACTTAATCTTGCAGTTCAGGATGAGCAAAAAGTTCGGGGTTTTCAGCAAGGCTTGGCTTTGTCCTTTGTTTGTTTTTTCTGAAGTCTGTGGTTGTTGAACTAGGTTTTGCATGAACACTTCAGAAAATCCTGCTCTGAACAATTGCAAGCAACATTATATAAACTTAGTATGGAGGCAATAGCTCAGAGATGTCCTCATTCTTGTAAATGCTGCTAAAGCATTTATTGACTGTAGTTTCAAGCCCTGAGCAATATTGGTCAGTGAGCTTTCTCTGAGGTTATGAAAGGCTGCTTGAGGAATACAATAATTTGCTTACAAAGCAGAATTTGAGTTGTTTATTTTCATTGAGAGGAAAAAGAGACATTTTTGTCCCAGGCATGAAGGTGGCTTTGAGAAGGGAATTAACGATCGAAGTAGCAGAACAGTTCACCTGGCTTCATTTTGAAAAACTCTGAAAATATAGGCAAAGTAAGGATCAGCCAGAAAATGTCTGAGAAAGTATGGGGATGGAAAGTGAAAAAAAACCCCACATCGTAACGCATCTAGTCGAGACTCACCAATGCAAGTGTTGATTTCTACAGTATTCTTTAATAGTGCTATGGTTATTTTATTCTTTAGTGTCACAGCCTGTGTGGTTTCTGTCATTTGCCCTGAGGTAGCTGGATAAGAGAGATCATCGCTAGAGCACAGTTATACAGGAAGGCATGGGAGGCTTGTCTCCATTACAGAGTTTTGAAACTGGGATTTGAACAGATTTGTTAATGAAAATGCAGTAGGTCCCACAGAGCTTTTAAGAGAGCCATCACATCTGCAGTGGAGACCTCCAGCAAGGCTGCTACTGAGGGCATGAAAGCTATTGCTAGGGACACCTTGCACCTCCCTCTCCTCCATGAGGTGCCTATAAGTGTCTGTCATGTAGTGGAAATGGTAACAAGTTCTGAAGTGTGACAGAAATGAATGTGTTTTGGTAATGTGACAGATGCATGTCAGTCATGTCACATCCCAATATACATGCTGTCCCATGAGGTGTGCGGGTATATGCTCTTCAAAAAAAAGTTTTGATGTATAGCTGAAATATTTCCCGTCATCTGATAAGAGTGAAGCTGTGGGTCCCTTGGGGAGAGGGAGTGGGGCTTGCAAGTGCCCTGTATCTTCTCCCCCATCTTGGAGCAAAGATGAGCGTAGAGGGGAGCAGGCTGTAGGCTGGGTGTGGGCCATGAGAAGCTCTCCACCTAATGAGTACACTGTGAAAGGCAAAGGAGTGAAGGGACATGAATGGTCACAAAGTCCCCCTGGATCTGTTTGTGCTTTGGAAATGGCAATCCAAAAGGATGCACTGCTCAGAGATGTTAAGTATATGATGAGAGCTGTCATGGAATTACAGAAAACTGTGTCACTAGAGGATGGAAGTAGGTACCCCTTCTCAGCTTGTGTGTTGTATAACTGGCGCTGAGCACCTGATAGAGGGACGTCTGATTTTCTTGATACCCCTTTACTTACTGTTACTGTTTTTTGAAAGAGTGAATGTTATTCCCAGATAATATCAGTGTAAGCGTTGATGCAGTAGCCTTTCTGCTTGAGATAAAGCAGTCAAATAATTTTTGTCCTAACGTGTAGGTTTTGCTAACATCAGCCAAAAAATATATATGTGGAAGAGCTATGAAACTATTTCTGTTCCTTTGAAGCAATAAAAGGAGCATATTTGGAAAGGAATTAAATTGATGCTCAACATGCCTCCCATGTGTTAGAAGCCAATGATTTATAAAAAGGGAGGGGGAAAACAAAGCAGCCAGTCTTTTTTGAGGTGAGTGCATGACAAAGGCTCAGTGCGTTTTTGACAAGTTGTTAGATTTTGACAATGTATTTGCTGCTTATGGTATGTGCTTTTGTTAGAGAAAAATCTTAAAAAATATGTGCATTTCAACTTGGCAGAAACGCTGCAATTGCTCTTTGGTACTTTGTCCTATTTTATAAGAAGTCTGCTGATTTATCAAAATAGCTGGCTCGTCTTGCACCATTGAATTGAGCTTATTTCTAAAGGATCAAAATATAGCTTTGTTTGCTTGTGAAATATGCTTCGCAGTGTGCCACAGTCAGATGTCAAAGACTGCTATTTAAAAACATGCAGGAGCTGTATAGAAATATAGAACCTGGAAGTCCCCACTGCATCTGATGCAAGCAGCATCTGGGATTCATAAGGAAATATAAATTACATTGAGGAGTACAGATATGGTGCTGAAGCCTACAGATGTGTGAGATTAACTATATGGCTCAACGTAGTTAGATTTTATGGTGATGCTAGAAGCCTTGCAGCTACTTTACATGTTCTGATCTAAATAGTGGATGTTGTTTGGGCCATTGAGGATAATGCTAGTGTTTATCTACACAGGAAACACCAAACATGTCGTAAACTGGTCAGCTGGTTATGGTGTTAAAATCTATTCTGTTAACATAATGTACGTTGCTCTGTGCGTGTATCCCAAGAAATAATGTGATCTCTGATCTTCTCTTCCAAAAGCAGTACAGCATAACGCACTTCCAGATCCTCAAATGCACCAATGTGAGGCTTGTCTTTCCAGGCCTCACAGAGCTTATCAACTTAAAAGACTCTGTTCAGGAAACAGATTTCACAGTTACGCAGAGTAATGCATGCAACAAATGCTGCTCATGTTTTTGTCCTTTGAAACACCTCGTGTGTGATGAAAGATGTTGCACCGAAAGCTCTGTAGACAGAATCACAATGCCTTTTTGCAACGGTAGTTCAGATTTCCATTTGCTCTCCTGCCTGTGTTCTTCAGAAACACTGCCTGACGTGAGAAAAAGGAAGCTCTGCCTTGTGGTCTCCTTGGTTCGTGGTCTGCCTGCTGACACTTTAATGAAGAAGCCTGTAATGCTGATTCTCATGCTTGCTCTCTTTAGTGTAGTGTGGATGCTTTATTGTCCGTAAGTTTGTCAAGTTATTAATCAGTTGCTTTACTTCCGTCACATTTATGTTTTCAGGTGTGTTCTGTGCTTTTGGTTAAGTATGTGCTCAAGTACTTCAGTGTGGGGCAAGAACCCTCTTCACTTATAGGCGCTCACCTCTTTCCAGATTTGGACCCTCGCTATTTGGCTGAGACTGCTAAATTAATTATTTTGATAGATCAATGGTAACTTTAGCCATGAATGATCTGCAATGGATTCAAACTGACTATACCAGAAATGTGTTTTAGTGAGTCTTTGCCTGTTGGAAGATCGTAACGAATGTCATTCTTTCTCAATATTCTAGTTGCATCATCTTTGTGCATCAATGAAAAGTCCAAATATGGCTTTGTTCAAGCAACAGAAGGTGGAGGATGTTTATGAAATTGGGGAAGAGCTAGGAAGGTAAGTTTGTACTGATGATACCACACTATTTTAAAAGCTGACACATGGGGATATTTGCCACATCTTAAGACAATGACTGTGCATGATAGCCTAAATCAATTACAATATACAACAATAGAAACACATCCTTATGCAAAAACTGCACTTTGGATATTTTTTTTTTAAGTGTGCTAACTATTTCTCATGATTCTTTTCTTGCAACTGGGACAACAAAAGGTATGTTTACATTGTCTTTTGTAGATAGGTGTTATCTGTGTCTGTGCTTTAGACTGAGTTCACCTGTCTGTTCTCTGAACGAGCTAGGAAACAGGAACCCATGGTGCTGTCGTCACAGACGCAGCGCTTTAATTTGGCTTGTTTTGAACAGTGCTGCACAGCACTGTTGTTTTCAGCTGGCTCTGAGTACTGACAGAACACGTTCATATCTGCCTGTAAAACATTGTGTATGTATTCCTGAAAAGATTTACCTGTCAAAATTTCAGCTGGACTGGTTAATACCTGTATATAGCTTTTAATCTATAAAGGCTTATCTGGAGGTATTAATTATAGGTGGAGTTAATGGACTATTACCACGCGTAACCATAAGCACCTGCTTAAACACTCTGTTGGGTTTGTGAGCTGGATGACACAGGGCTCCCCCAGTCACTTAGCAACATACAGTGCTCTGGTGAGGATAGCTGGTTTCCATTCAGTGTCCAACCCTCCAGTGATTTTCTTTTTAATATGCAAATAGCTAAATTAGGGCTATACACATGTTGGCTTTTTTCCCAACATCTGGCAGTTGGTTTTGATAAATGACTGTGTATGTGCAATTACCCTTTTTCAAGGGCTGATAATTTAGTTACATTAAAACACTTCAGTTGAAGCTGTTTCCCTGCCAAATCTTATTTTTTTTCCACTCCCAGCTATTTCGTCTGTAGAGTTGTTGAGAAGATTTCTTTTAAGGGGAGATGTTTTTTTGGGTTTGGGTGGGTTTTTTTGTGTTTTTGTTTGTTTGTTTGTTTGTTTGTTTTTCCATTCCCTTCCCTCTCTGGAAGGCCTCAACTATTAAATTTTCTGTAACTGCTTACTTTTGAGTACTGACTGGTCCTGAGAACATCAGCCTGAAAGTGAAAATCTGACAACAGTGAGCAGTAAAGGAATTCAGTGTATGTATGCAGGGTGTACAAGGTGTGCTTTTTTTAAAGACCCTAGTGTGTGCTGTGACAGTCAAACTGCTAAAATGAGAAACTGGAAACTGGGTAGCATATTTTTACTTTGGTTCTTGAATTGGATTTGGAAATCCAGTGTCTTTTGAGATGATGAACCTCACTCTTCCCTTCAAGCTGATAGTTATTAGGCCTTCTGAATGGAGAAGCGTAGTTGAAACAACCTGGTAAAGGCTACCCTTGCTGTTTGAATCTGCCTGAGAGGCCTCAGACTGGTAAAGGCTTGCATGGTCACAGCAGCCTTCCTCCTTTCCTGGCTGCATGTCATAGAAGCACAGCTGGTCCCAGGGTTATGCCATGGAGCTAGTAGTGTCGGGTGATGGGCTGGGTTTAGAGGAGACTACACTCAGGCATGGAATCTGAAATTGTGGCCTTTTTTAATGGATATATTCTCTGCAAGAAAGATCTTTCCTAGATAAGCCAGAAGAAGGGAGTCGGTGTATACATGAGCAGGTGCCATCCTCACGTGACAAAGGGGTATTAAACTCCACTACAAAACCATGTTCTAGTTCCCAGCATTTTACATGTCATACTACTTGTAGATGAGAAACCCAAGCCCACTTGGTACTGAGGTCTGTAGGCAAAAATGTTCCTGAAAGACCTGAAGAAAATAGGCAAATTGTAACAAGCAGACCTCTGCTGCTTGTTATGATTTTTCAAGGAAAGCCCTGTAATTGTAAATTGTGAGAAATGGGCAGCAAGATTGGAATTAGCTCCCTTACTCTGAATGCATTCAAGCTGTATACTTTACACATGCCCATAAATATAATGTCGCGCTGTCTTTGTCAGTGTATTTTCACTTTCACATTTTGTGAGGAGCTCTGCAGACCTTGTTTCAACTGTGTGTTATATGTGGAGTATCACTGGGTTATCATGCCTCTATATTTCTGAGCAGTAACTACTGAGGGCCGGTGACAAATGCTATCTTGCTTTGTTAGAAGAAAAATAACACACTACACAGGTCGTGGTGACTGAAATGCAAGAATCTTTTCCAGTGCTGACTGATGCCCTTAGAACCTGTAGATGCCTTTTATTAGTTCAGTATGTTTGCAACAAGCTGTTAGTTGCTGACAGGTCCAGGCAGGTAAAAGGATTCATTTATTATCATTCTGGCAACAGAAGTCACTTACAAAACAAAGGTTTTCAAATAACAGCTGTGAAGAGTCTGTCCTGTTTGTGTCATCCTGAGTTTGTGATTTCTTGGGAACGAAAGTAGTCATTAATACAGGCCTAATGCTTGTTTTAGCTTGGACTCAGTCCGAAGTTAAAATACAGGATCTCACGCTCAGAGGCAGCACCTGTTTAGCTGAAAGTCTTTGCACAGCACTTAGGAAAGGAGGCTGCTATTGTATACTGCAAATGCTCCTTTGCAAGGCTTAGATATATCTGGTCTGGTGATTAAGTTAGACCCTTCCTGTCACTGTGCAGCATTGAAGGTAGCTGCAGCAAGGCTCTTCAGATCCAGCTGTATAAAAGCCTGCAAACGATACATTTGTGGACTTCTCAACCAGGTCGTTCTCAGAATTACTGCTGAGCTAGAAGCAACTCAAAGGATGGTGAAAATGCAGTTGTCTCCTGTGCCAAGGCAATGGTGTGAGAGAGAACTCTTTGCAGAAAGAGGGAGCAGGTTTTCCATAGCTGCAGCTGTGTGCTGTAACTAGCTGCCTAGCTCCAACATTCCCTCAATCTTTCAAATATTAATCTTAGGTTTACACCTCTGTTTTTCAAGGGTACATGCAGGGAAGAAGTCAGGCATGTGGCGTTAAAGAAAAGAAGTTGCTGATGGGCTTGTTTGTTCTAGCAGCTACACTTGGGAAGCTTAGCATGGCCTATGCTGAATGAGTACAATACTTTATTATCATATATGTATATTTAAAGTTACTTCGTGCAAGATAACATCAGTCAGTTTGCAAGTGTGAAGTCTGTGGGAACTGAGGTTCTCTAGCAGTAGCTGAAAGGGAGCCTGAAAAGAGGAAGAGCCTCTAGAGTAAATTTAGTAAATTTCAACGTTTTAGAATAAAAAAGAACCCTTTTAAGATCTATAATACAGCTTATTGATAGAATATTGAAACATTAATTTTTTTATTTTTTGAAATTTATGACGAGAAAGGGAGAGTTTAGAAAACGTAACTGAAGATGAATATGTTATAGGGATATTTATGTAAAAAGTCCTCAGTTACAATAGTTAGTCTGGAAGTCTAGAAGAGCTAGAAAGCAATGCGGTATAAAGTAATCAGTGTCTGTGGAGGTATTAGAAGATTCTCTTCTCTTTCCCCTTCCCCCAAGGGTAGTAGATTGTGTGATTTGGGAGGACTTTATACAGTCTTCCCAGGCATTTAATGCTATCACTCTTTGAAGGCCATCAGACTTTCTGGCAGGTTAAGTTTCTTTCTGTGTTGATCAAAAATGGATACTTTAAAAAATTATTTTCTGTCGAATGTTTTCGAAATCCCTCCTCAAATATGAGTTTATATTGCTAAATGTCGCTTTTATTCAAGTAATGGCAAACTACATCCTTTACAATTGTTTTTGATAAACTCTGTAAGGAACCTATTAACAGTTTTGCCTGTTTCGAGGAGGATCCTGGCTTAAGCTGTTTGCAGGAATGTTTGTAGCAGATCACTCTAACGGCATGCCAAAGCAATGGAAATGCTTCTTGCAAAATGTGAGGGAGTGAAGGCTAACTTGACGTCTTGGGAATATGCAGCAGGTCAAATTACCGCTGGTTCTTGTTGCAAGGGAGGTGGCAGCGAGAGACAACCAAGAATGGAAGCTCTTAAATTGGGGCCAAAGCATGCTGAGAGAAGGAGGAACTGGCCTACTGAGCCTAGTGGTGTAGTTCCCAGGAAAGCTGCAGCAATAAAGCTCACTGGAGAGCCTTTTAACAAAATGTCTCAGGCCTTGTGATTTGGATGGGTAGTTCTGTCTAGCTGGACAAAAGGAGTTCTTGTACAAACCTGAGGAGCCTTTTCCAGTTGTACTAGCAAACACTGATGGTGGGGGTAGGTGCACAGAGAGTGCTAGAATTTCAGAGATGTGCAGTGTAATTCATAAAAGGTTGTACCATAGAGTCATTAATCTATTACCCAAATGTGTTGCCAGCCAGGCCTTAGAGAGCTGTTGACATTTGTGCCTTCTGGGCAGTCTCACTGTTACATGTCAAGGCTGGGCTTGAGGGTAGGAAGTGTCACGGAGCTTGTCCGGAAGCGTTTAATGACAGTGCCCCTTGAGAAAGGGTGTTCCTGCCGGCTGGTGCGAGGCTGGCACTGCAGTGTCCTGAGAGTGTCCTGCTCACTGCAGCTCAGCTCTCTGCAACATGCAAGGACTTAGATCATGCTTAACAGAGACAAACCTTGGAGTGATGTTTCTGGGTAAGGAAGTCTCCCTCTTTCCTTCATTATAGTGCTTTCACTGTAGGGAAGGGGCTCTGCCTTCCTCCACAATGTGTGCCAGCCTTACCACCTGCCATTCCAGTTTTTTGCCTGTCTATGAGCTATGCTCATCTCTAACCTTGACTTTCTTCAGCTTTTGCCTGGCTTTGCTATGTTTTCTGCAGAGGTAGGAGATCTTATACGGATACAAGATGCATAGTCTGATGAACTGATCCTCACAGGAAACAAAAACTAAGTCTTTCAGTATGCATGAGAAACAGGAAAAGCATTTTGTTCACTTGCTAGTTTGAAATCCTCTCTGTTGGGAAAGACAGTTTGTTGCTGATACAGCATGGTGGCCTCTGAGGAAGGCAGCTGGGCATGTCTTTAAAATTGTAAGAGCTTTTCTTCTGACAAGAAA